TATCATTGTGGACACTGTGTCACTGCATCTCCTTGAGGGTCTTCCTCTCCTCTGCTGACCCTCTGTTTTCCAAGCATGATGTCCTTTGCTGGGTACTGGCCCCTTCTGATAATGTACGCAAAGTATGTGAATCAGAGTTTGACTTCTTCGAAGATTCGGTTGGAATCTATCCAGCAAGTCCTTCTGGAGAGGGTGACTCATCTCAAGCTGAGTGCAGTGACAAAACTGACCGGTTCCCACATGAGTGTGTGACACATCCTGTTTGCATGGTCCACCCCACAAGGGTACAGTAAACCTTATTTACTTTATTAGCAAGCTATTCAGTCCCCAGGGTCCCTCAGGGCCACAAACACCTCATGTTTGCATAGTTCAACTCAGCCATGTGGTTAGAGTTACCATGAGCAGGGCTAGAACCAACCACAGCAGGAATTTGCTGCCCTGCACAGGGTGATCTGATTTCCACACGTCAGCTCAGAGCTTCCAAGTGGATATCCTCGTAATCCGGGTGGAGCTCACACGTTGCTTTTAGGATCTACTTTGGAAGTTACCCAGAGTTAGTGCCTCTGAATGCTACAGTTTGAAAACAAATCATTGAGGCTGAGTCACGTCTCAGGGGGCATCGATTCCCACCTCTCAGTGGAAAGAATGTCACAGAGCTTGTGAATGTGCCTTAAAACTGCTCCACGTGGCTTCCTGCATGAGAACATGAGCGTAGGGGTGAGAGTTTAGACTGTGCCCGGAGAGGTTTATTTATGGAAGTCAAGTTGATAAACATCCCTGATATGTCTGGACATCTTCGGAAGTGATTTGTAGAATCGTGAAGTTTGGAATAGGATTATTGAGTAAGGACGTAGCAAATGAAAGGATTAATTGATTGGTAACTTAAGGAAAAATAGAAGTTATGCAAAGGAAAGAAATCATCATTTACTTCATACTGAACTGTGAGAAACCTCTCTACAGTAGCAATAGTGTAAACGTTATCAGTCTTGCAGTTCTACAAGGAAGATAGAGAATGGAAAAGAAGGTCTGGGAGTTGAATATGGGGAAAGGAAAGAGAGAATATATCATTTTTTGATAATTAATGCCTTGAAATTGGGGTAGAGGGGAGGTTGTGGGGAGGAAATACTAGGCCATTTAAGTACATGGGGGTAAATACACATCAAAATAATCAATAAAGGAGTGAAGTGTTTGCCTTTGGGGACTGAAGAATGCATACAGTGAGGAAGGCAGGATTTCTGTTTTCATTTTCTATAACAAACCTTGTAGAACTCTTTGACTCCTTAATTGTGAGGCTGTCCAACTTTGATGAAAATGAAAGCTTGCAAACAAAGAAATGAAAAAAAATTCCCTCAAAAAGAAATACCAGGCCCAGATCATTTGACAGACGTACATTACCGGACAGTCAAGCGCATCTCTGCCTTCTATCGACTGTTCCGGGGGCTGTAATTAGAGAGGCTGCACCCTCGTTGTCAAGCACCCAGTGCTGTTGAGTCAGTCCCAGTGCACAGCGAGTCTACAGGACGGAGTAAAATGCCACCCTGGGACCTCAGGGCTGTACACCTTTGTGGAAGCAAGCCGCCATATCTTTCCGGTGAGCGCCTGGTGGATTTGAACTGCCAACGTGTCTGTTACCAGTCTAGTGCTTGACACTGAGCCATCAGATCTCCATAGTAGGTAATGATCCTAACAGTTCCTTCTCCCCAAAGCCAGACTGAAGCACATTTAGCAAATGAAGATTATAAGACAATCTTGTTTAAGAACCTGGTCACAGAAATACTAAATAAAATGCGTAAAACAAATAAAATGGGGCCAACTCAGCCATACCTAACAAGTCCAACACACACACACACATGTAACCTAGAAATTTAAGGAATGCCTTTACAGTGGAACTTTAGTTGACAGGTGGCTCCCCTAACCCTATCATTTTTCCCTTCTAAGCTACTAGTGCTTTTTTTTTAAAAAAAAAATTATTATTAATTTTAATGAAAATTTACAGAGACTTTGAATTTCTATTCCTTCATTGTTGCACTTTTCTCCCTGCCCCCCCAGTACACTCTTCTCTTTGAAAAGTAAAAGAAAAATTCTTTCATTGTTAGCTTCTAGTGTTTTTAAAGAAAGCTAGTCCATCCTGCAGTCCTTGTAATTACCACTGCCTCAGGCATTCAGCCTCCACAGTTGTCACATGTCCCAGCCTTCCACTTAACGTCCATTGCAGTTAACCTCTGGTGAAAGTCTTAGTATTTGCAGTGACATCGCAGGGCACATGTTACCACACCTTACTTCAGATCAGCTGGAGTTCTAACTGGGTCCAGCCTGGTGAGTAAGCCAAGTCGAGAATCCCATTCTAAGGGTCTGTTATCTTAGGACCCCAAATGTTCTCACTCTGACCCCACAGAAAGCAGAGTCTGATATGGTCAGATGATATTCATATTCTCTCTCTCTCTCTCTCTCCTCTCTTTGAGGGTAGGAGTAAGTTATAGAGAAGAGTAAGAGAAAGAAAACAGAAAAAGGGAGAGTCGATATGAGAATATGTTATGATGGCTACTGAGTAGAGGTGATTGCTTGATTTTTTTTTAGCATCCCCTAAGAGGTCAGTGGCTGCTGGAGGCGAGGTAGGTTTCAGGATTCCGAGCAGGTGCGGTGGTTTTTTGGGGGCCCACGAGGGGGTTGGCAGAGCGGACTTGCCAGATGAATGGGGGTCTGGGGCAGGGAGTTTCCCAGCATTTGGGCATGCCAGGCTGCTAAGATACAGTAGGACCCTCGGACCTGCGGCCCTCGGGCCAGTGTTTCATTGTTTTTATTCAGACATTCCTCTAGGTCATGTAGCCCTGGTGTACAAGTTGCCATACACAAGTTGTCACTTGTGGTTGCTGTGAGACTGAACACTGACGCTGATGTGTCAAATGTGTTAATGGCTGGTTACCCAATGCAGACTGAGAGTGGGGTGGAGCTCCCCGATTAAACAAGCTTGGAAGGAGGAGTGGCATCCACTTCCATAATAGCTTGCCTCCGGAAACCCTATGAACCTGGAGAGAGGATGAAAGGCATCTGAGCATTGAGGACTCTCCTTCTTAGGGTTGCTACGAGTCACCTGCAACTTGATGGCACTGAACAACAATAACAAGAGGTCAATAAACATGTGTGACTAAATCTGTGAAGACACATTTCAAATTTATGTCGAGGTTATATAGTGGTGATTAGGCTTCACCTGCATTTATAATGTTTTGGGGGTTTTTTCATCTGGGTGATGAAAACATGGCTTTTTAAATGTAATACTTTATCTATTTTACCCAGTCTAGTATCGCATAAAATCAAATGTTATATGCTCCGTATATAAGGGTTGGAGGTTAAATAATACTTAGGGAAGCGTGGGGCATCTTATCTTGCTCGTAGTAAGCATTCCCTAGAAATTATTACCCATCCAGCCAGTGCTTATTGAGGGCCTACTGAGTGCAGATAGGGACCTCTGGTGGTGGAGGTCTGTAGTGAGCTGTGCAGTTAACCCACAGGCAGTGTCTCTGGCAATTCAGATCCACCAGCGACTCCACAGAAGGATGGGCAGTCTCCCGTGCAACTTCCAGCCCTGTAACCTGATCAATGGTCAGTTGTAAGTCAGTTCCAGCTAGATTACAGCTAGTTGAGTTGTGGGCCAAATCCTATATGGAGTCCTGAAAATGCAATCAAAACAGATGTGACTTTCTGTTTCAGGAGCCTAAAAACTAGATGGGGATGCAGATTAAAATAAACAGCGTTGCTGTGCACTGTTGAGGAAGAACCAACCCATAGCTGGCTGCCCCTCTAGCAGGTTTTCAGAGGCAGTTAATCACACGGGAGGAGAATGCCCATCATCCTTCTCCAGCAGAGCAGCTTGTGGCCTCGAACCACATGCCTTGAGGATTGCAGCGCAGCTTCTTGCCACTAGGCCAGGATAAGCCGGGGGCGGGGGGGGATATGTGTATGTCTTGTCAGGAGGCTGCAGAACAGGACAGATCACGGTGAGTTTGAGCCACTCCCGGGCACCTAACAGCAACCACAAGCAGTAGCTCCTCTCTCACTCTGGGTGCTGGTGGGATTTTGTTGTTAAGTGTTGTTGAGTCAAGTGTAGCTCATAGTGACCTGTGAACAATGGATCTGAACCCTGCCCTCTCCTGTACCATCCTCCTCATCTCTGACATCCCTGAGCCCTTCGCTGCAGTCACTGTGTCTGTATGTCTCGTTGAGGGCCTTCCTCTCCTCCGCTGACCCTCCACCTTTCCAAGCATGATGTCCCTTTCCAAGGAATGACCCATCTTAACAACATGCCCAGAGTGTGTGAGACGAGGTCTCGCCATCCTCGCCTCCCGGCAGCACTCTGGCTGCACTTTCTCCAAGACGTGTCTGTCCTTTTGGTAGAACACGGGGTCTTCAGTGCTCCTCTCCAACATCACATCTCAGACATTGGCATTTTAGCAGTAGAGGATTCCCAGGCCTTTCCCTCAGGAATTCCCCCCAATCTTGGAGGAGAGAAGAAAAGACGGGACTTATTTTAGGACTGGGTGTGCTGAGTGATAGAGAAAAGACCAATAATGCCTCTTGATTAGGGGACAAATCTGAAGGGTTTTGTAGGGGAAAACAGAGGCATATAGAAGAGGCTGATGGTGGTGATACGGGTCAAACTCTGGAGCCACATGTTCTAAGCATTGGTCTCTACAGTGTTGTAAGGAGGAGGAGGAGGAGAAGGCAAAGACAGTAAGTCAGAACTACTCCCTTGTTCATTTGTACCTCGTGTCTAATTTTTCTGCTAGGAAACTTGCAGCCACTTCCAGCGAGACCAGATGAACTAACTGAATCCCCATTACCTTTCTTCTATCTTCAGCAGGTCTAACTCAAGCCCAAGCTCATTTAATTTCTGTCCCTCTCCATTTCCCCCTCCCTGTATTATTTAAAACCAGTTCTGGACATTGTATTATTCCTTCCATAAATATTTCTGCATCAAAGAGACTGCCTTTCCCTTTGAACAGATGGTCATTGCTCTGCAGAATACTTCTTCCACCAGCCGCTGCCTTCGAGTGCTCCCGCCTTCTACTCCATACTTTGCCCTGGGATTAGGTAAGTTCAAAGCAGCAGTTGTCTAGACAGCAACAACATTCTTTTGGGGCTTCCTTCCGGTTGGTAAGCCGCTGGATCCCCAGATACCTCCCGCATCTGTGCCTTGAGCGTACGCCCATCTCCGTTGGCAGCCACCGGCCACGCACCTGCTTAATCCTCCTGGGGGGACCCTGAACACCCTCCTTGGCCACTGGGCTCTGAGCAGCCTCAGTCTTGGCCAGTCCTTCCTCCTGTACACCCCCATCCAGGCACGGGTTCTTCCACTCTGCTTCTGTGTGGGTCTCTCCTCCCCCTTTGGACTGTCACTCCCCTCAGCCAGCCCCTCTCATTCTCGGCTTACGCTGTTCAGCCAGCCAGCCTTCTGCACTGCTGTGTGAGTGCCAGAGTATTTTCTCCAGAACAAACAACTCTAGTCAGAGGTCTCAAATGGTTCTTTGCTGCCCACAGAATAGATCCTCAGCCACGTAGCTCTACCAGCCTTTCTAGCTGGGGCCCTGCTCTTCGTCAAGCACATTCTGGTGGTTCATAGCTGTGGCCCTGGCCCAGTTGCAGCAGGTCTGCGCGTGGCCCTCCAGGTGCCCCCGGTAGGCACTGAACGCAAGCCTGGGACTCAGGCTCTCGGGTCCCAGGACTTTATTCGCTGCCTTTTTCAACACAGGGATGTTCCCAGGCACAGGGGGCATGGTGGCCCCTGGGATGACCTGCCAGTACATTGTCCAGTTTGCACCGGACTGCCTTGGGGATTTTGATGATTGTATTTTAGTGGACACCCAGGCAACCCAGCCGCTCCGGATTCCCCTGCGGGCCCGGAGGCCACCCCCAGTGCTGACATGTGAGTAGACGTTTTACGTTTCCAGGGGTCATCCTGGGTTTGGAGAGTCCTGGTGAACACCGCCTGCTGCTCAGGGTTCCCTTGTGACAGTTCACAGCTAAGTCCTCCCGGGTAGAGACTTCCAGGCTCTGAGAAGGCGTCTGCTGGCCACTTCCCCACCGTGTTCCACACTGTCAGGCCCTGAACATTCTCCTTGTTGTTGGATTTACCCAGAGGGTTGATTTTAAATGACACAAAGCAAGGCGGCTGAGCTTAACAATTTTTTTCTTTTTTTAAAATTATTATTAATTTTAATTAAAGTTTACAGAGACTTTGGATTTCCATTCATTCATTGTTGCACTTTTCTCCCTGACTAACCTCCCCCCCGCCACCAATTCACTCTTCTCTTTGAAAAGTAAAAGAAAAATTCTTTCACTGTTATACGATCCCTCCTCTCAAGTCCACTCCACTGTGCAGCCTTCATTCTGGACTCCTGTCATGACAATAATACCTAATCACATATCCCTTTTAAACAGTTCTCTCCCTCATCTGTTTCA